TTTTTACTGACATGTTGATGCCCTAAATTTTATACTAGTTTATGTTAGGGTAATTCAGAATTAGGTTTCGTAATGTAACTGATGTGAAGGGTATAATGCTTTCATGAAGAAGAATTTAAAGGATTCACATATAACTAGTAATTGATTTATTCAAAAACTCAATCGTTTTTAATGAAAAAAGATTAAACTATAGTTTAAGCCCAATTGATTATAAAATTATTTGTATATATTTTAGAATTTTAGCAAGACTTTAGAAATAAATACAATCAACGAACAAACAAATTGATCATTGATTTTTCAAAATCAAGAGTACTAAATTAGCCAATAACAAGATATGTAGAAGCACCCGGCAATGAATGAAATGATGAATTTAAAATCCGTAAACACATACAATCAACAAACAATGGATTAATTTTTATATATTAGATTTATCATATATCTTATTTTTGTTCTAAACTGGCCAATAATAAATTATGTAGAAGCAATAGGTGAGTAGTGAAATCTATAAAATAATAATAAAAAAGTTCTCACATTGATACCTGCGGATGAGCTCAGTAGAAATATTGTTTGTACTAGAAAGAACTATATGTCTAATTTGTGCTGACAAGATTAAATAGGCAAGAGAATTATTATTTTAGCAACAGTTATGAATCACATGGCTCATATCACTGTGTACCACTATTAGCTTAGGTTAGTCACTATTTATTTGGATAGCTTGAGTTATTATATGCCTGGCATAGGATCTGTGCGAAATGGTGCCAAAAAAAAAAAATAATAATCAAGAGATGTTGAATATTTAACTTTAAACCTCAATCTCTTTTAAACATTTTAAAACTATTATAAATGTTATTTTTAAATATATAATTATATGATTATGAGGATAATTTTTATTTTATTATATGTATTAGATGGTTTAGTAAAAAGCTTGGGGTTGGCGAATGACTTCCCTAGCCAAATCTTAGTTCCACCACTGCAGTGAATCAATGCCAATTTAAATTTAACTTCTGTAATCTAGATAAAATGTTCTCAATTGTAATATGAAATTTTTGACTCAATTGTTGAGCTATCCATAGAATAGCATTAGTTGCCGATGTGAAATTTAAAATTTTCGAAACAACCAATAGAAAAAACAGCAGCAAATTAGTTTGAAAGGATAACATTGAAGAACTCCTTCAGCACATCAGGGGAGAAAACCTTGAAGCCACAAAAACTCCTGGAACCACAAGTTGCAGAAGTTTCCCTTCAGATATTATTATTATTATTATTATTATTAGTGAATAATTCCAAATCCTACTGCATAATGCTAAATACCAACACATCAGTTTTTCTTTAGCAATTAGAGCATTTTCTTTTGTTTTTTTTATGTTAATTTGGTTAGCTTTCTCTGTGCTGGGCCTAGTCCTTCTTGGTTGATTTCATTGCATGATTTTAAGGGTTCCATTGCTTAGTTAATCCAACTTTCTTGTTTGTTAATCCTACATGCAGGACAACACCGGAGGAAAGAGAGAACTCCTACTTTTTCAGCTAGTAATACTCCTAATCTGCGCAAGAGGTAACAACTTTTTGTTTTGATAACTAGAATCATTCATAATTTTTTTCATCTTTATGAACTATGCTTTCATCCATCTACTCATGAAGCTAATTTTTGAGGAAAGAGAGATTCTGATGTTTATACGGCAATTTTCTGCCTGATATTAACTTAAATCTTACTTTTGCTGTGTCGGACATATATAATACAGATTTTAAAATCAAAAGCAGCCATACCTTGTCGCAATTATTTAGAGTTGGCTTTATAGATCCTCATCTTCCAATCGTTCTTATTGAGCATTGCATGAGTTATTAAATATATTCCTTGCAAATATTTTTAATCACTTTTTGGTACAATTCTCGGTTAAGTTATACATTGTATAAAATTCTTTCTGAGAATTGCAAATAAAACTGAGGCCATTCATTTACTGTAACCTGTTCTCCCCCCTCTCTGATTTTGGATTCTGCATATCCTTGCAGATTCCTTCACCTTCATGAGGTAGAAAGACCTGGAGGTGTAAAGAACAGTGCGAAATCAATATTTTATAGATTACTCCATTATTTTCAGCTCTTATTGCTGTTCACAAAATATATGTCACACTCACAAGTGAATATATGTTCAATTTGCGAGCTATTCTTTTTTTGGGAAGCTTTTCTGATACTGGCCAATGGGAGGGTAATTACTGATTTCAGCAAGAATAGTCGAAAGAACTCTGAATGACATGAAGTACAAGATATTGGGCTCCAATCCAGGATATAACGACAAAATAAGGTTTGGATGGGCCGAAACCTCCCAATAGAAAACAAACACAAGTCTAATTTTTTTTTTTCATCCTACACATAATAACACCTATTTATGGATAGACTCTCCTAATTACAAATACGTTATTCTAAAACATAAAGGCCCAAAAAACGAATTAAAACACACAAAACAAGGAAATTGAAATTAAACTCTAGCTCCCACATCATTCTCCCAGGGTTGCAAGGTTCTCTCACGATGAGTAATCTCAAAATCTGATTTGTAGTGAGCAGCCAAGTCGAAGTCATTGATAGTGATGGGGTCGTTGTAATCCTCATGTAGGTCAAGTTCGATGATCCAATCATCTCCTAATATTGTCATTGTTGAAACTGGATCAAAGGGTTTCCAACTCCAATTATGAAGCATCTTAATCTATTTGACATCAATTTTTTGAGAACTAGGACTAATATGTGCAATTCTTGTTGTAAGATATTCAAATCATCTCAAATCATAGTTGGAATGCAATGATTGAGCTTTCAGGCTGGGTTTCTGTCGAAGTAATGATGCCTAATCCATATGATCATGTATATCAGTTTGATGTTGATGGCTGAGAGAAACAAATTCAACATATCATCTAGTTTGATCACCTTGTAAATCCCTTCCTTTATGGGAATCTTCACCATCGGCTCTTCTATCAATTGCATATTTAGAATTTTTCACTCTAGAAAATGGTCTACTTTCTGAGCATATCCACGATTAGAGGCTCAAAAACAGTCATCGTCTTACGCAGGCATTAACGATGTTTCCAACATCGAAACATCAAACCTTCAAATCCATCAAAACTTGAGGTTTCTTGATGAAATGGATTTTCACCTCCTTCCTCAAGAATTTCTTTTTAAGGATCCATTCAATTTTTTTTTTTGAAATGGTCTTCAACTTCTTCCTCCACCACCACCTCAAATTCTGGTTCGGCAGGACAGTCCTCCAGAAATTTTCTCACCTCCTTTTGCATAGGAACCATGGCAGAGTACCATTGTCCAGGAAAGAGTACATATTTGCATGCTCGTCATGAATGATTTTGCAGTCATATTGCTAAAGGATGCCCTAGAAAGAGGTTTCAAGCATCCATTGGGATGACGTCGCATAGAATTTCATTTTGAAATTTTTTTCTGATGGAGAGTTGCACCGAACATTCTTTTGCGACTTTGATTTCATTTCCTCCTTTAAGCCAAGCTGATAAGGATTTGGGTGAACTTGAGTAACTAGCTCGAGCTTTTCAACTATGGTAAAGGACATCATATTTTTTGCAACTCTCGCTATTAATGATAAGATTACAAACCTTGTCTTAGATGGTGCACTGGGTCCTACTACAACTGATTCTCGATCATCCGCATGTATTATTTGTTCCCCAACCAAATTAGTGTTTTCCTCTTCTAATGAAACTTTCGTCTCAGGTTCACTCTCTTTCACCAACAAAATAACACGATGATTTGGACAGTTGGCTGCTATATGGCTAAATCCATGGCATTTGAAGTAACTTCTATTAGTTAAATTGTTTCCCAGTTTTGTAACAAAATTTCCACCTGACTGGACTGTAGAGTGGCTGCTGTCTTCCCCTTTTCTGTCAGCTGGCAGTACTCTGGAATAGCCAGACTTGTTGAAGTTGTCATGTTCAGCCACCACGCAAAGAGGTGTTTCGGCCCCATTTGCTGTTGTTCCACCTTCAAAACAAGGTTAACAACATCTGAGAGTGACCAATAAGGTTGAAACTGAACTACATTGGCTATAGAAGGTCTTAAACTACCCGAAAATCGTGCAATAGTGTGCTCTTCAGGTTTGGATAGATTGCATTTCAATCCAAGATGCTTTCATACGGCCTCATTTTCTTCTACTGCCATCTCCTGTTGGTGTCAAGGATGAAGACGGATGAAAACATCTTGCCGATTGTGATCCACAAAAATTTGCGTTCCAATTCCTTTTTCATCTTACTCCATGTAGTAATCTTGGATCATCCCTCTTTTTGCCTCGTCCATTTCAAGTTTTCCCTCCAAAGGGAAGCATTTTTTCTCAACTTGATAGCAACTTGCTTCGCAATTTGATGTTGGGCACCTCTTTGAACTCGAAAATTCTTTCGACATTGGGCAACCAGTTAATAAACTCTTCTGGGTCTAGATGTACTTCAAAATTAAGGTTATTTTTCTCAGTTTCAAGATTACCGTCTTTGTGTTGTTTGTTCTTCCTGCATCCACGAATGAGCTGCTCGTCTTCGGAAGAAGCTTAGTGAATAGGATTATCACCCCTTTCTTCTTCTATTGCCTTGGAATTGTGTGCCATTGACCATTCCTCCATACTTTTTTGCTTCAATTCCATGAGTCTCTTGGATACGCTGCATTTCATGCAAAAGATCCTCCATGAGCAATTCTTGATTCGTTCTTGGCACGTTTTTGCATGGAGGCGTAATAGAGAGCTGAAAATTTGAATCAAGGAGGCAGTGAAAAAAATTCTGTTTGCAATTTCTGGGCAAGAATTGGAATCATGAAGCCCAAGATAAAGGAATATCAACCTTCCATGACCAGACATTAAGGGAATTGCGGACATAACAGAGGAAATCCATGGCAGCGACAAAATTTGTTCCTTGTGGCTGGACAACAAGGAAGAAAACTAAGAACAACCCAAGAAAGAAATACCGCTATGCTTCAAATGATGCTAGACTGGTTCGGCTAGGGCATAATTCATGGATAAGTTGCCAAGGCGCTGCTTCAAATCTCCCGTCAACAACAGATCAAAATCTGCTGTGTCGAGAGTTATGGGAAGGAGAAAAGTGCAGAAAACTGAGAGGAAATCCAGAGGACAACCTCGGTGCGACTTGACTGCTTCAAGACTGGATCTAGCAGTTTCGGTTCAGCCAGCGAGTGATGGTAGATTTGAGAGAGAGTAGTGCAGGAATGTGGAGAGAATCAAGAACCAATCTTGCATAAGCTGGTCTTTATGAAATCTTCAACCCGATCCACCAACCAATCTCAGGAGAAGTCCAGAGACGATCTCAGCAGGTTCAAGAAAGGATTGGACCCAAGAATCCCAAAGCCTTGATACCAAAATGATACCGGCCAAAGAGGGGTAGTTACTAATTTCAAGAAAAACAGTGGAAAGAGTTGGGAAAAAAAAGTGAATAACATGAAGAACATGATAATGGCTAAAGTTCATTTGAGCGTCAACTAGTATACAACTGTAGGGCAAGATTTGGATGAACCGAAACCTTCTAATACAAGTTTAAAATCCCCTTTTCTTTCAGCCCTCACAAAATCCCTATTTATAATGGCTAGACTCTCCTAATTACCGGTATGCTATCCTGAAACGTAAGACAAATAACAAACTAAAATATATAAATCAAGATATATAAATAACAATAAAACTTTAGCTACCGCTTCATTTTCTTCTGTTGTTGTAAGCTTTGCCTTTCATCTTTACCTTCAGAGATTCATCTTTTCAAAAATCCACCACACATTCATTAAATTCTCCACTAAGAATGCAATTTTGATCCCACCACGTTTTTTATTAGTCTAACTCGTATTTTATCTTGAAGGCCTATTTCTGTAGTATATAACGAAAGTGAAATCCAGCAGTGGCGTGAGGCGCGCAAGAATAATTTTCCTACCAGAGCTAACATTGAGAAGGTATAATACAGATCTTGTTCCATAAATAAAAAAAAGGGGGAGTTTTAATAACATATTGTGTTCCAGAAGCTGAAGTCAGAAAGTGCAAACAAGGAAGAGATGGATTCACTTGCTAAAATACGCCGGCAGGTATTCATCTTTATTCTTCACGACAAGCCCCTTCATCCTCAATTTACAAATCTTTTTTTCCTGTTAATCATCAACATATTAGTCTTATTTCAATAATTTTAGATCTGCTTAATTAATCCTTATCTTTCATTTATGCTTATTAGGCCCATTTGATGAGTTTAATCTATTTTCATATTTAATCTGCATAAGATAGGCCATGGTATTTATGTGAAATAACAGCCTTTTTCTGCAGCAACTAAAGGAAGTTCTAGCAAAACAGGCAGAACTTGGAGTTGAAGTTGCAGAAATACCTTCAATCTACCTCACTAAACCTGAAGATCAAAACTCCAAAATTGCGAATCCTGACGAAGCTCTAAATACAAATATTGAAGCTCCATACAAAGATTTCACGAATCGGAAGA